TTCAAGAAGCCACACACACCCTACAGGTGAAAGAACATGGTGTAGGTTTAACTCCTTTTTTTTTGTATGTGTGTTATATGCCAAATGTACATATATTTTAGGCGTTTTTTGGCTAACGAATGCAATTAGTTTTGGCCAACTAACCTAATTTGTTTTTTGCCCTTTGGTTGTTATGCTTCTCTCATCATCAGTTTTTCCGTTGGGGCATTGGTCTTTACAATATCAACCAATTTTCTTCATATTACTTTTCTCGTTGCTTAGTGTAATCAGGGAGTAAACTCTTTAGGCATCTTTGAACCGTCCACTCCTATTGCTTTAGGGGAAAAAAGAAAAAAGAAAAAAAAGAACGCAATGGAAATGGTGTTTGGGGTGGAAGGATATAATGAAATATACTACAATATACTTTTTAACAAGGAAAAAAAAAAAGAACACCGTAGTATCTATGAATTAAACATATTTTATTATATTACTATTCTAGACGTCTCCATTGCCATATTAAAGATATTTTCATAGCACTTCGTTTTTTGTCATGATCATGAAGTTTTATTAATCTTGGGACCATATATGTTGTTACTCACCCATCATAAGTTCCACATATATGTGTTGTAAACCACAATTATATATCTGGAGGCTACACAGCGTAATAGGATAGTTTTCGTTGATTGATTCTTACATCAGTAATATTCTTAACCACATTTTAGCCAGGTCAAAAGGAGAATACGACATTTGGTCATTCCGGGGCATTTTCTCTGGCCTTCATCTGCCTTCATCTAAATAATGTGCTTTCACTAGAGTTAGATTTTAATGTTTATAACACCCTCCATGTTTTGATCTAAAAGGAAAGTAAAAGACAAACAATTTGTTCACTGATTTCCCAAAAACTGAATCCATCAATCCCTGATTTACACAGCAGAATGAAAGGAAAGGGAGGGGAAGAAAACGCAAACCAAATCCATCAATCCCAAATTCACACAACAGCAAAATGAAAGGGAAGGCAAAAGAAAAGGCAAACTGGATGCATCAATCCCAAATTAACACAATAGCAATGAAAAGGAAAGCAAAAGAAAAGGCAAACTGAATGCATCAATCCCAAAAGGCAGTGGAACACATCATTTATTTTTGTGTAACTAAAACACCTGCTGCATCTCTAAATTTGTACTGTTGACAGCAATTACAAATCACAAAAAACTTCTGCATCTCTAAATTTTTACCATTGACAGCAATTTCAAATCTACAGCCCTGCCAAAAGAAAAGCCAGACAACAATTCAGTGCTGGTTTTTAAAAGAAAATGGCAGGATAATTAAAAATCATTATATTTTTAAAGGTATACAAAGTTTTTTTTTTTAAATGGATGCACTTCAAAATCTCTCATTTCGTCCAAAAGGCGCAACATTAAAATTCAGAGGTTGCCTTTGCCCCAGAAGGCAAAGATTAAGTCAATATAAAACACAATTTGGTACGTCCTTATGTCCCTCACGATGTAGCACATTTATGTACAGCTAAAGTAATGTACTTCCATGTAAATTGTAAGTGAGTGATCCTCTCTGTGACACGCTCTCCTGGCAGTCCCTCTTACATCTGTGATTATTTGGGTGAACAAAAACTTTGTGGTCTATGTTTAAAATGCATTTGAAATTTAGTTTGGACACGCTTGATTTGATGACTCCGGACTGAATTTATTTGAAGAATTACTCTATTCAACACATAGAAGAATTCTCATGAAATACGAAGTTTTAGCATCATCCAAAGTACATTAGCTACACCTATTAATTAATAGTCATAAATTCAGAGAACCTAAATTTTGGATGTGAAACAGAAAAGGAGAGAGAACCTTTAACTGTATTGTTAAGAAGAACATACAAGAGCACTTCTTATATATGAGTTTTGGATTTCAATTAATAAGGATAGTTACCTAATTCTTTGGATTTCTAACTCTTGGGATAATCAATAAGAATATCTCACACAATAGTCATAATTATTCTCGACTTTCAACAATGACAAAATAACAAAGAATATTCTGCACTATGTTCTTATTGATTTTCTCAACTTTATAACATGCATCCTCAAACTCAAAGTGGAGAAACAACTTGAGTTCTCACATCAAAAATAGGAGGTATCATTGGAAATAAATTAACTTGATGCATCCTCAATGCTTTTTAAGGGAAGAGTTGACCTTATTTGAGAAGACCATTTACTAATTGTATTTTGCTTAAAGTTTCCAGATGCGATAAACAGTTTTTTCAAAGAAGCTCTTAGGCACTTACCCCGAGGCATTTCTCTTTCATGAATCCTAGGATTGTACCACCACCATCCAAGAGACAAACCTATCGCGACCAAAACCCAGCCAGAATCTCCGGCGTAAGACCACCCACGCGCCTTCACGCGCGGCCCAGCTCCGGCGACTCCTTTTCCACGCACCGGCGCGTGAGCCATTTCAAGGCCAGATCTCACTTTTTCTTCTTCGGACAGCCTCATCGCGAGGCTGTTCCGAGCACTCCAGTCCAAGAATATCCTAATTCCGACGTCTTTTACTATTTTCCGGTGTACCTTCTCATCGGAATCCTCTTTTTCTTTCTTAAAAACCAGTGTCCACCCACTGTAAAGTCCTCTGCTCATCCATACAAATACTGCAATGAGGGAGGATAACAGCATCTATTTTGCAGTGGGCTGCAAGTCATATGACATTGTTAGATGCTCATCCAATGCTGAAGAATGGTATGAATGGACAGAACGAGGTCGGAATGTCATTCGAAGATCTACTTACAGCAGGAAGACGATGGTGTGGTTGTGTGAAAAATTAAAGGAAGCATCGAAGATGAAGGGAAACTATGTGAAAAGATGGAAAACCAAGGAACATTACTTAGAAACATTCTGTGCGAGGAACTACAACAAACATGGTCGTTATATAACCATCATTAGGGTCCAAGGCAGGGGGAGGTCAGTAATTATTGTTCCAGAAGTAGCATTCAATTCGGGTTGGTTAGATATTGCAGCAGTAATCGAAAGATTCATTAATAGCGGGGTACGGAGGAATGTCATTAATGCTCCCAAAATCATTGAGGAAGGTCTTATTTACTCAAACACAGTTAGAAATCATAAATGGGCAAGCAGAGAAATGAATGAAGCGGCGGTCCAACCAGAAGGAGACATTATTCACATCTCTGGTGATCTAACACACAACGATGTGCTAGGCACGTGCTTGGTGGGGTTCATCACAGAAAATTCCGAAATTGCAACTCTATCGGAAATTCGTAGATGGGCATCTAGTTCTTGGAAACAAGCACATGGAACCAATATTTATGAGATGGGTCAGAATCGGTTTCTCTTCGAGTTCTCTTCGAAATTAATTGCTGACCGTGTTTTGAGTAGCGACTGGTACGGGAAGAAACACAAAGTTAAGCTTCAGTGGTGGACTCCGACGGTGGGATCAGTTCCAAGCAATAAGACGATGAACCATGTATGAATTAGGCTAGTAGGGCTTCCGTCACATCTATGGTCCCAAAAAGTCTTCAAAGAAGTTAGGGAGTTTTGCGGTGGCTGGATTTCAAACTGAAGAGGAGACGGAGCTAAAAAATCACTTGAAATGGGCAAGAATAAAGGTTAGAGGAGATGGATCCGCAGTACCAAAAGCAGTGAAGATAGAATTTGAAGGGGTAGTCTTCGAAATCCAGATCTGGTGTGAAGCTCCGGTGAGAACGTACAACGGTGCAAATGGTGAAAAAATTCGCTCGAACCTGCGGGTAATAGAGGACAAGCAGAGACTAGGGGGAAGGACTCAATGTTATACAGTTCTGACGGGGCACGTGAGGAGTTTGAAAGAAGTACAGCCTATCCCTAAAAACTCACGTGACCAGTCACGTGAATCTTTAGTCACAACTAAAAAGGCTGTCCCCAACAATGTAATTTAAAGGAATTGGGCCCAGATTTTTTGGCCCAATTTATATCTGAAGAAAAGGCTTTTAAATTGCCCAATACAAAGCCGAGGCCAGATCCTTTTAATGAAGAGGTTGCAGCCCTACACTTTGAACCTTCTGTGGGAAATCAAATAACCACTTGCGCAGTGGATCCCAGTGACAACAAAATCAACTACAATACAGAAGAAGATGAAGAAAAGAGGGACGATGGTGGAGAAAAGGAGAATCAACAAGAATCTATCCATGGGGAAAATGCTATGTCGATCATTGCTGAGCACGAAGGGAAGGGAGACGATTCAGAAGATTACAATAACATGCACATGCAATCAAAAGAATCTGATATGTTTGTGGACTGGGCAATTGAAGAAGCAGTGCCTCTAAACCATCAAAGCTTAGAGATAGAAGAAGACCTGGAATTCGAGGCATCGATTTGGGTGCATCAGAATATCATCAGATTGAGCAAAGAGTTTAGGGTGGATTTTAACGAGTGCGAGAGAGAAGCACTGGAGCTTTTCATGAAAATTGAAATAATAGAGTAATAAAGTTTTATAATACTTTGGAGTTATTCAGTGGAATCAACTCTAATCAAGATCTCATTATATGGCAAGGGAATAGGAAGGGGAAATTTTATGTTAAGTCTGCTTATAAGGAATTCAACCTGTCTAATAACCAGGTTGGATGTTGGCCATGGAAGATGATATGGAAAATAAAAATCCCTTACAAGGTTGCTTGCTTTACATGGTTACTAGCAAAAGAAGCGGTTCTAACACAAGATAATCTAATTAAGAGAGGTTTTCACTTGTGCTCTAGATGTTACTTATGTGGAGAGGAGGCGGAGACAATCAATCATCTCTTTTTGCATTGCAAATTCACTGTTCAAATATGGAGGATTTTTATTAGTTTTAGGGGAATTTTATGGGCAATGTCAGGAAGAATTCTTAATATGTTCTAGCTTGCTGGAATAAAGAGGGTTGCCTTTCTAATTATAAAGAGAGATGGAGAATTATCCCAGCATGCATATGGTGGACAATTTGGGAAGAGAGAAATCAGAGATGTTTTGAAGACAAATCCAAAAACATCCACAAGACGAAGATGAAATGTCTAGCCCTCTTCTATTTTTGGTGTAAAGGAAAGTTTTTGGAGGATCATGAATCCATTTTTGATGTGCTAGATTCCTTGTGAGAAGAACAAGGATTATAAGTGTTTTAATTTCCTTTTTGGGCACTCATTTTGTAATTATGGGTGACTTCAAAATTTTAGTAAAGTCTATATATTAATATACAAATATGTTACCTTCTCAAAATAAAAATTGTATTTTGCTTGTGAAAATGCTTCTTTTGGAAGGGACATGGTTGTAGTTTTGTCATTCCCTATGGTCAAGAGCTTTCTTTCAGACTAAATAGTATTGGAATGCGCTCACTGTATTTGGCACTAGAACCAAACCCCAATGAAGCCTAGGATATTTCTAACTTAGCATATTCTAATTCTTCTAAGTTGTATTCATACATTTATTCTGTCCCTTTTTTACTAGGTCATATGTGCCTGTTCTTTTACTATTTCAGCAGACATCATTCTTAGTGTTGTCGTGCATGTTTCACCAATGGTCAGGCTGTACCATAAGACCCCAATGCGGAGTCAGTGATTGAGCTCCTACTGAAATTTACGCTTTTCTAGATTTTGATTGAGCTCCTACTGAAATTTCAAAACTTATGAGTAGCAGCAATTACAAATCTCTTTACGGCTAGAGAATTGCGTGCTAGTTTAAAGAAGAAAATGGCAGGTGAAGAACAATCACTAAAGTTTTAAGGGTGTACAAGTATTTTTTTTTAAAATAAAAATGGATGCACTTCAAAATTTCCTACTTGGCCCCTTCAGGAAGAAAGGGGAAAACAGTGATGCAATAATTTTCCAAACATAAAGAGTAAAAAGTATGAATATCGAACAACTCCTCACCATTAGGTCTCCATTGCAGTTACTACTCATCCAAGCTTAGTATTTTGCCTCACCGTACTCCAACCTTCAACATTCATACATTCATGTCAGACAAAAAAAGAAATGTTGGCATTCAAACAAGGGGGTTAAGTACTTACATTGCACGAAGCAACCTAAAGTTAGGATCAAGAATAGGGAAAGTCTCAACTGCCTCCACAATCACCCTTAAATCATTTTCTTCCCTTGACACAATGAAGGTGGAAGCTGCTATAAGATGATCAGATAGAGTAATAACCGCCATGAACCTGCGGTTTCGCATGCCAAGCAATAGAGGTGAAATGGAAACATCATCTAGCCCAAAAGAAGCGGGAGGTGACGTGAACCATCTCCTCTCATCCAAAGAATATGCATACACTCGGAGGTCGTAGCCTAGCCAAAAGAACGCATTCTCACGAAAAACCGGCTGTCCATAAATTGAAGCAGAAATCAAGGGGTCAAAATCTTGGACATGGTCCAAACCTACAATGTCATTGAAGTCCCAAAACTCAGCATCCTCATAATACAAGTCATAAAAGACAGCAAGCGAAGTATGGCCCGCAGAATGGTGGATATTCCCGGTAATCATGTAATAGAACATGATCTGTCCTCGTTCCAAGCAATAGAAAACACATACTGTTGTTGGCCTAGCGTCAATTCTATCCAGGAGGATGGCCTTATCATAATGGGTAAAGTCATTATGATGAGGAATAATCCTCCAGAAGTGCTGATCAACATGGTAAACTTGACCACATCGACGAGGAACCGTATTTTGATTAAAACCAGGGTAATGGCAATGTCTGCCTGACAGAACATATAGCTCCCTCCCAATGGAGGCCACAAAAGGAAACTTACGGGGAAAGCTTCCTGCATCCGCTACAATCTCCCAGACGGGATCGTATCTCCTCTTATAATGCTTAAGGAGATGCGGATACGCGGTATCAGCGGTTGTATTCATATCCGTAAGGTAGCTTCCAATTGCGAAAATATCATTACCAACTATCGCAGATCTTGCTCCCCGCCCGTATATGCGCCGAGAAAGCTCCCCGAGGCGAGAGGGCACACCAGACAGACGAATACGCCTTCCAAGGACACTAAAACGATACCACGCATCACAAGAAGCGCCGTCATTCATCGGCGGGACGCAGTAACCATGGAGATAGACAGTAATAGTCCGATGTGTCATCGGAGGCATTTTCGGCGAATTAGGGTCTACAGAAAGGAAAGGGAAGTTGAGAGAAATTAGGGCTGGAGAGATTTTGGGCAAAGGAAGGGGAAGTTGGGGGTACTTTTTAATTTTATATTAATATTAATTTGAGGCTGACTCTGTATTGCAGAATAATGCTTTTTTTATTTTATACTAGCTAATAGTCTAATAGTGATTGTTAATTACTGTCTAATTATCCATAGGATCAACTTTATTTTTACGTTTTTAAAATCAATTTGTGATTGTACTTTTGAAATTTTTGAGTTTTTGGTTAAGTTATATATGAATTTTGAACGCCTCTATTCTCTATACTCCACCATTTGAATGAGGTTATAGAATTATGTTTTTTTTTCTTTTGAATTATATTTACTTAAATTATGTTAAAATTTATTTTATGTTATGTTGTAATTTTACATAAGAGTATTATATTAATTTTTTTTTAGATTTTGAATATATGTTATATTTTTGCTTCTATTTTATTTGCTTTAGTAGTATTCATTTATTAATTCAGATTGCATGCCATTTATTTTTCAGTTAGAATTGATAAATTATTTTTTCGTCAAACATTCGAGTAATGTTATGGTATTTTATTTATAAATATTAATCATTTTATCAACCATGCATTGATATTCTTACAAAATATGTACTTTTAGTTTTTATAATTGTTAAAATAAAATATTATTAATTTGAAAGTTATATATCAAATATTTTAGCAATATTAGTTACAAATATATGATTAGTAATTAATATTATTTTCAAGAAACAATATCTATCTTAAATATCAAATTTAGTATTATTTTTAAGGGCATATATTTATTAAATCTTTAAGCTTTTAATTTTTTATAATTAACTTTTTATTTAAAATTTATTCTAACTGTGTAATTACACTTATGCAACCAAACAATACACTTGTAATTACATTATGACAAACAACCAAACAAACAGGTCGTCGTAATTACAATATTGTATAATTACTAGGTTATATAATTACTAGTTATATAATTACTACTCTAGTAATTACACCAATTCCAATTATCCGGTGACTTTTCAAACAGACCCTATGTGACTATGAATTATACATGTAAAGAAAATAACAAAAAATGTTTCCTTATGTTTGAGATAAATTTAAAATAATCCCTTATGTATACTATTAGACGATGTTAGTCCTTCAAGTTTAAAATATTTCATGCCTCAATGATAGTATATATCATAAATACTTATTTTGCTATAAAATATAAAAGGTAGCTATAAAAAATAATATTTTAAAATAATTTTGATTTATAATAAATAAAGTATATACCTTTGCTATAATAAATATGGTATACCTCTGAACTAACATACTTAAAGCCCAAAATCAACCAAATAAAGTGGCCTAGCGAGAACAGTAGCCAATGGGCCAGGTGAAATCGGTCCTGTAGGTCCAACCAGACTCTTAACAAGACACCCAGATTCAGAAAGGTACACAAGGAGGTTGAGTCCAGTTACACAAGTAAGCACTTTTTAAAAAATATTTAAGAAAATACTACTACTCTTTGTTTATTCCATAAATGGCAAAAAAATTATAATGGCAGATAAAGCTTATGAACATAGTTAATGAGCACAGCCAAAACTCATCAATTATGGGATATTTGTCTTTTCACTCTCTTCTCTCTCCTATTTTAAATTAAGAATTCAATTATATTCTCTTATTTCTCATTATATTTCTCTCTTCTTTAACCGTTACACTAATCTTATTCTCTTAATCATTATGAAACTAATTACATATTCAATTAACTTTTTAGAGGAATTATGTGTATAACTTCTTGCTTAAAATCAAAATTCTACTTAGTTCGTTGTTCAAATCAGATTTAGTTTCAATTTGTAATCAGATTTAATTTCATGTATATGAAAATTATTAATGTGGATATAATAAATTATATTAAAATTATGTTATGGATATAATAAATTATACTGAAATTATACCATCGAAATTTTTGGGGGAGCTCATGTAGAGTGAATCATATTGACAGTGTACAGTGGGTATTAAAATTATACTAAAATTTATACCCTGGATATCATGATTTTAATACAAATATATTGTGAATAAAATAAATTATATTGAAATTATATTGTGATATAATAAATTATACTTAAACATGCTAAAATTATATTGTGGTACTCATTGGAAGTTATATATGGTATGATGGGGTAAATCGACTCATACCGAAATTATACTAATGGATGTAAAAAATCATATTAAAATCAAAATTACACCGTGGATATCATAACTTTTATAGATTTTTTTATTGTGAATATAATAAATATACTGAAATTATATTTGTGATACTTATTAGAAATTATCTATGGTCCTATGGAGAGTGAATCGTACTGAAATTATACTGTGTGTTTAAAATTATATTAAAAGTATTATGAAATTATGTTGTGAAAATGATTGGAGAATTTGTTTTGCTCGAAATTCATTATTATTGTCCTATAATTTTGGAATGAATTGCTTAGACCGAGAAACAACGAGATTTCCACATAAAAATAGGCGATTTCGTTTTAGGTGAATGTGCTATATTGAAAGCAATCTTCTTTGGCATTTAATATCAACTGCCATGAAAAATTAATGCTTTAGATTTCTGTTAATCGTGATTATTGGTCCAAATTTATAGTTTTCTGCTAGGGGATGCATTTATATAGTTGCCATACATGTAAAATACCTATTGTTGTTAGGATTACGAAAAACTTTTTAAAATTTTACTCCCTTCGGTCCACAATAAGTGACCAATTTGCTTTTTTGTTTTGGTCCAAAATTAAGTGTCCATTTATGTAATCAAGAAAATATTAAATTTATTTTTACTCTTTTACCCTTATGTGCATATCCCTAAAAAAAATTCTTACTCCTCAAATTAATATTTAATTAAGGATAATTTATTCATACTAGATATTTTTGTATAGAATTTAATATTTTCTTAACGGGTGTGTCTAAAACAAACTGGTCAATTATTGGTCAATTATCGAGGATAGGAGGAGTAGCTGTTTCCCAAAGCCCCAATTTGGCGCCCAGTCCAAGGCCCCAATTGTTAACTACCAATTGAAATTACGATCAGTATATACATGCTTATCCAAACATGTGTTCAATTTACAATCCAAATTCATACTTGATTTGCATATATAATCACTAAAGAAAAATAATCGTAGAATGGTTTATAATGTCAACACCTAATTAAACTATTATATCAATAGTCATATAATAATAGTACTTCACAAAATAGCCGCCCCTGTTTCAATTATAAACAAGTATTCACTAAGTGTCAACTTCAAACCTTCCTATATTTAATCTAGCAATTTCAGATCCCTCCGAGATGAGGATTTCATCTTCTGCTGGTGTTTGCAAAGCTCACCCAAATTAACTTGCTAAGATAGGTCATTATCCCTTAATCTCATGCTAAAACAACTCCAGTCAAGCAGCAAAAGATTTCAAATAATGCGACCGTCATGTTAATCTTCACTAGAATCTCTATAGTGTTAGAGTTTAGTATATCGGTTTATCACAATACAAAGTCACCAACATATCGTTAAGATCAGATCAGAATTTATCATCAATTAATGAACACACAATAGGAGAAACAACAATATTTATTCATTTAAGCCGAAGTATACATGATCTTTATGTGTTTACCTGATGCAGCAAGAAAGGAAAAACAACAGATTTTTGCCAAATAAAGGCTAAGAAAGACAGCAACAAATTGGAGCTCAGCTACTACTTGAGGGAAAAGCAACGAATAGCAAGAGATCCAAGTTAGCTTCACCTCTAAACCCAGAAGAAATATAGAAGAGTTTTGAATTCAACAGTAAATCACCACAGCTCCCTTATGTGACCAATTTGAGTGAAAATTGACCTAAAAGAAACTATACTGAAAAAGGAAAATTTTCAGATTCCAGTGTTTTGATGGCTATTCCCTGTATTTTCTAGCTGCTAAGAATGCAGAAATTGTGAGGGCAAGGCTATTTTTATAGACTAGATTTCTAGGGCACCTTTTTATTCTTTTCTTTTCTTTCAACTCCTCTCAATTTTCTGTTTTAATCTTTGCAGTCCCTAAAAACCGACCTCTGCCCTACTTTCCTTGCTAAACAGTCCCTAAGGTTCTCTCTTGGAAGCTTCCTAATCCGTTACTATCACGCCCAATTATGCTTTATAGAAAAAACTAAGCGGTCACTGCACATATAATCTGGTCTACAAGTCCGGAGTCAAATCTCACAGAGAACTAAGCCTAGTTACAACTGTTTAATATCATTAAAAAGGCAAACTCGAACAATTTATAAGTTATAAAGAATGTGATATGTTTATTCTAAACTAATTAACTAACACATCTAAAAAGTAGTAAAACTATCAATTTACAAGGATAAGGTTGGAGACAAGATAAAGGAGGCCTAGAGTTATGATTTTCTCCATTGTCGGAATCCTCCCGCTATGCCTGTTATACTTTCGCCTAAGTATTCTCTACCGACCGTGAGTACTTTGATTGTCGTAATTCTCTCTCGAGCAACTACCACAATTTACTAGATGTATTCTCTCGAACTACACTAGCTGACACTAATTCACCGCTCACTGCGATCGCACCAACGTTTGGTTATCTCTAATCCTGCCTTTAAACCCTCTGTATTGATCTCTCATATACGTTAGGAGTGATGTTAAAAAACTACCTAAATGTGCATTCTCTCTCAAGCAATACACACTAAATAGGTACAGTCAATTGATGACCATTCAATCAACAGCAACAAACACGTAGTTGAACAAGTAGAGAAATCCAACGGCTCAATTATATAAAAACATAACAAGAATTCATCCTCTAAAAGGTTCTATCAAAACCCTAGATAACAAATTAGCTATTCATAATAGTATGCAAAACTACAATAGTAGAATTCATAATCAATACTGGAAATAGGAAGAAGAAAGATGGGAAAACGTGAAGTTGAATCCTTCTCTTTCTTGCTCCTAGCGTGTTCTTGCCTCCCTAAAGTCTTCTCTCCTTCCAAAGTAGTGTATCTCTCTTAAAAGCACGTTTTAAGATGTATTTATAGCAACTAGGGTTTGTATGAGGCGAATTTTCCTTCAACTAAATCGGATTGGAAAAGCTGATTTTTTATGCTCCGGTCCATGTCTGGCGAAGTGAACCTCGCTTCGCAGTCCGAGACTTTCCTGATTTCTTCTAATCCGGTCCCGGTCTGGCGAAGTGAATCTCGCTTCACTGTCCGAAACTTTTCTCTTCAGCTCTTTTTTTATTAATTTTTCTCCTATTTGATCCTTTTCCGCATAAGTTTATTCCAATACATAAGAAACACATAATGAGCATATTTTCACTTCAAAAGCAGTGTGAACTCC